CCGCAGTGTCCGTGCGGCAGGGCCCCGGTGCGCGCCGCCGGGCGGGCAGCTCGGGGGCTTCCGCTTCTTTCGGAGCGTTTCGCTGACGTTTGTGTCCCGGCAGGGGAAGGGAAGGATGTGACGAGCCGGGGCGATGCAAGAGACGGCGTGTCCTGTTAGTACCGGGAGCTTTGCGGGAAGAGGTTGCTATCGGGGGCCCATSGGCTGCGCTCTGCGCGTTGTGCGTCACGGCGCGCTCGCCAGCTGGCTGCTCACGTAGCAAAACAGACCCTAGATTTCATAACTGACACTTCCCTTAAAACACCGGGCACTGCCGAAACTTACCGTGAGCCGATAGGTGCCGAGAGGTTCCGCGCTGTGGATGGATGGGGCCCCGTTTAATGGCGAGCAGATGGTTGTAAGTTCACGTCTTGCCTCTCAGTAGCTTCCCCGTGGGTCAAAGCCTCCAAAGGAGTACCTAGAGCAAGGGTTGAAGTACATTTCTTACCCCTTTCCTTACAGTTTCTTAAGCATTAGGCCATCCATGTTAAATGGTTTTGTATGTATGAAGTAATGCTAAAATAAAGAAGTTATTTTTAAAATGTCTCTGGGTATTTAATTAGAGAAGTTGTGTTTTTTAAGTTTTGCCAAATCCTGCACCAACTTACTTTCACAGTCAAAGCTCACAAGCAGACATGAAATACAAACTTAAACAAACAAAAACTTATAGAACAAGTTCTGATATTGGAGAGGAAATAATGTGTGTGTGTGTACGTGTATATATATAGGTATTTCTCTTACATGGGGGTATATTTTGAAAGGGGTGCTATGCTTAGCTTGTTATCTATGGAAAAAGAATTCCCAAAGATTCATATATCTAGGTTTAAATTATTTGTATTTTTTTAGGTCACATGGGCAACTTTTTCCTGCTGCCCCTTCATACTGTCATGATAGGGGTGCTCTCCTTACCAGCTGAAGAAGCCTTGATTTTTGACCCTGAGACTTATTTTGGAAAAGAGAGTAGAAAATAGGTCTGCCGTTGCCTCTCTTGGGTATCTGCAATGCTTTTATTGACATTGTTTGCAAAGGCTCTCTAATTAGAGCAGAATAATTTTCCTCCTAGACTTGGTGGTGTTTCACTCTGCTCTGTGTAAAACTTGTGGCAAGAGAGGAGTATCCTGTGCTGACCATGTAGTTTGAGATAACGTTGGGATCCCAGAAGAGTTAACTACAGGGGAATGTATTTTCTTGGTATACCTTTAGAAAAATAGTGCTTAACGTGTGTGGCCACTGGGAAAAAATAGTTTGAAAGAGTATAATCCTTACGAATAGGTTGGTGTTCACTGATGTTTACCTACTGTACAGTGTCCATCACTGTGTACAYATTGTACAATGTATCCTATTTTTTTGTGAGATTTCTTTTTTCAGCCAGTAGTAGCTTACATGTGCTACGTGGGTTTGGATTCRAAGCTTGAATATTTCAATGCCTCCATAAAGCAAATCAGTAGCTGTTCTCCTAGCGCTTGTACAAGAATTAAGCTAGTATTAGGTACGAGATGTTCTGTTACGAATCTAATCTGAGCCGATACTGGCGTGGAAGAGGGGAGTTCTCTTGGCAGGGGAAGATGTGATGTCAGCACCCGAAGCCTYGCGTGGGTCTGGCTGCCGGCAGCTCTAGCAGCGGCCGTGGGGGCCGGGCTGAGGGCGCCGGCTCCCGCTGCCGAGGCCGTCGGTGAAGTACCAACATCCATGGGGAAGCCACGTGCTTCCCTGCACGGCTTGACTAGGTTCCTTTGTGACCAGGCRGGTAAACTGATTTTTTTCCCTGCCTTCATTTGAGGCAAAAAGGGTGCAGTTTAGGGCCTTTTTGTTTATTTATTTAGTCTCCCCCTCCCACCAGAGTTGGTGTGGTATGTTCTGTAACGCACTGCAGCAAAGGGAGTTGAGTTTATGTTTAACCCAGTTTAATGGAGTTCACGTGTAACGTGTGGGACTCAATTCCGGAGCTGGGAGCAGACTCTCTTTCCAGCCTATTTTGCATCCTCATGTCAGACCTGAGCAGAAGCCTCAGTAGCTGCCGGGGAGGTGAAATAGCTGCGAGTGCCGCCCTGCCTAGCCCGCTGAGCCTGGCCCTGCTGGTGCCGACTTTACTGGCCCCTCAGCAGCCCCTGCAGCAGCAGCAGGGCTGCCTCTCCGGGCGAGCAGGGCACCCCACGGAAGGGGCCCCCTTGGAACGGGAGCCCCTTGGAACGGGACCCTTGTTGCCAGGGTTGTGTTGTGACATCAGCAGTCGTGGCTCCGCTGCGGCCTCTGGAGTGGGGAAGGGGCTGGGGGGTCCCGACGCTCCTGCTCCAGTCACAACCGGCCACCATAATGACCAAGTGTGTCAAGAAGTATGGGAGAACAGCGGGAAGGTACTGGTGTTCCTGCTCTGCGGGCGGAGTTGGGGGCTCTCCTTACGGAGCTGGCACTCGCAGGCTCGGTTGAAGGTCACGGAGGGTCGCAGTTGATCTGATGAAATGTGGGCGAATTCTAAAAGCCATGAAGCAGAAAGAGTGGCTGATCTGTGGGTCTTGTGCCACGTGGAGGTCACAGGCAACTCAAGTACAGATCTGAGCCTGGTACTGCATGAGCACCAAGGCCRTGACCCCTGGCTGCTGGGCATCCCGAGCCTTGTCCTAGGGAGCAGCCATGGATCATCCCAGGTCCTGCTGTCCGGGCCACCTGCCCGCTCTGCCGCAGGACCCCGGCACTTGGGTGTCACCTCCTCCTGAGAACCGTTCCCAGAGCCGCCTCTCCGTGCAGCTCTCCTGAGTACCTGGGTTTCCAAACCCCTGGCTGTGTGAGGACGTGAACATGGGGGAATGGGGAGGCAAGACTTAGATTTATCTCAGTTTTGCAGAGTTGTTTGTTGTTCATTCTTGTCTCATGGCTTCAAGCACAAAACAGTTTGGAATTGCACTTTTCTCTCTAGATGCCTAATACCTTCCTATGCTGTATTATTTATGTCTGTGTGTACTTACCTTTAGACAAATGACCATGGAAATGGTTGAATCGCAACAGGATGGAAATGCAGTGGATTCAGTGCCAGAGAGAGAGATCCAGAATCAGCCAGGCCAAAGTCAGATTTCCCCCATATCTCAGGTAAGTCAAAACATGGGAAGATGAGAAGACTCAATACAAGTGACATTCAGAACTGTTACAACTTTATTGCTGTATCAGTTGTTGGTGCTAGCAATTTGCATGAGTTTATCTGGTTTTGTATTTTTTTGGTTTTTTTTTTTTTTATTATTTGATAGAATAGTAAAGGTCTAACTGAAAACTGCCTGTTGTATTTAACAAAGGACTAATATTACATTGAGGCAGTTATAAAGTAACATTTGAAGGGGACTAAACTTTTCAAAAGGTACTACAGTGATCACTAGGCATTTTTTTTTCATGTTTTTGAGATAGTTATATGTGTTATGCAAGCGGAAATAGGTTACTCTTAGGTTGAGATGATTGAAATCATCAACTGAAATCTAATGTAGTTTAAAATGTTTGTATCTCAAAGACGTATAACAAAAATGAAAAATGAATGAAAATTTAAGTTCTTTCCAAATTCTGGATTTTGTACAGAATGTATCTAGTCCTGCAAGTGCAATTTTAATTTTGTTTTGTTGTTCTTGCTTCATCTCTGTGCATCTGATGGCAGTGTCTGGTTTTCTAAAATGCCTTTTATTTGTTCTGTGTGGTAATTGTACCTGGATCTTTTGGCAGTTAATGAAGGAAAAACAAAAAAAGCTAATAACCGTTTTCAAACATTAAAAATAATCCTCTGAAATACTCAGCCCCTGAAAGAAATAATGTTGCTGTTGCCAGTGCTAAGATTCATCATGCAGGAAACTATAGATCCATTTACAAGGCTTTTTAGAAATGCTTTGACAGGCCTTTGGGACTGGTTAGATGTATATGGAGTTTATTGACATCACATATTGCGCAGTAAGATTCCTGTACAATTGAAGAAAGGGCTCTTCAATTATTTAACCCCATATATTTGCAAYGTTAAATACCTGATTCTTATTTTTGGTGTATTTTCAAATGAGAATCCTGCTACTGCTGGATCATCATCATTGTCTTTATAGGCATCCAACTGTGTTTGAAGATTTTTTTCTTGTTTTTGTTGCTGACAGCATTTGGTTGTGGTTTTAGTACCTGCAGCACTAAGAATCTTGTTGTTGTTTCCCCCTTGCTGTGTTCAGGTCCTCCCTTGCTGCTTCCATTCCAACAGTTCAGGCAGATAGCAATGCTCACTGATAGCACCAGCATGGTTTCTTTGTAAAATCTGTTAGTTTGTGCAATAGTCTCTGAATAAAACGTATGTGAACCCTCTCACTGGGACTTTAAATGTGGAAGCAGACCCAGATGTGGCTGCTGTGCTGATCGAGGGCTCCCAGGACCCCACAGGCARCACTGTGATGTTTGGCTGCTTTTCGTAGCCGAGCACTTCCTGGCAGCAGCTGGGCTGGCTCAGCAACCCTGGGCATGTGCCCTGGGTCTTTCAGTTAAAAGCACCAACTCYGGGAGAGGAACAGATCCCAGCAGAGCGCCGGGACGGGAGCAAAGGGGGCAGCCTGGAGCTTGCTCCTCACTGAGGACTTGGGAGAAGGGGCAGTTCATGCCTGGCAACCCCTCCTTGGTCAGAGGCCCTGCAGAGCTGGGAGCTCCTGTCCCTCTCCACGGGCTCTGGGAAATGCCAAGAAGAGCAGGCAACTCCTTGAGGAGCAGCTCGGGCCAACCCCTCAGCCTTTACCCCATTAATGTTCCTGCAACCATGCAGAAATGGAGATGGGGAGGAGGACTTGGCTCTTAGCAAGGGGTGWAAAATGCCCTTTTGCTACAGTTGCTGCTCAGACACTGTGTTTGTTGCTGTTGTTTTTTAGCTGGGTATTTTTTCAACATTGGTTTTCTTCAGTCAGAAGAAGAACATTTTAATGGGTTATCTTTTAATACTCATTTGTTGYTTTTGATATATTGCTTTGGTCAGATAGGGACTAGCAAAAGGCATGCAGTGGCATAGGAGGCATAGTATTTCATATATATAGGTCCAGATAAATATACACACAAACATGCACGTGCACAAAATATTTTGTATAACYATATATTTTTCTTTTTCTGTCTATTTTGAGGAAATGTTTGCTTCCTATATTGAAAAGGGGGAGCAAGATACACATCCCTGCTCTGGGACTGCTAACCCTGCTGGGCTGTAGAATTGTGGTGTAATTAGATGATCTCCAATGCTGAAAAATTTTCTATTACAAGTTATTAAAAGAGAAAAGGATGCAGCAGGGTTTTGTTTTCTACCCTCTGCTAAAAGGTTATATCCTCCTGCTGTTCTTTTTTTAATTATTCCTTTTACAGTGCTTCTTAGAGACCTTATTTCATCTCCCTTACCCTGTGGTCAGCTACATGATACTAGTTATAATACAAAAATATAAGAGCAAAATACTTCAGACTTTTTCAGGTCTGGAAAAATACTTTTTATTTTTTTTTCTCTTCTCTCTCCTTCTCAATCCTACATTCTTGATGAGTTCTTTGAATCACTTTTGGGTTTTGCTGTGCCTTGTTTGTTACCTGCCGTCTTGCTCTGAGACATTGTTATTGACCTCTCAGCGCTTGCCCTGGACCAGGCAGGGCTCAGGCTTTGCAAAGCTGAGGATAACTGCAGTGCTAGGGAGCTGGGGCAGCTTCCTTGGTAGGTTCTTTCTGAAGCCGAGTGTATGTAACTACTGCAAGTTTGGACTGTTAAGATTTRGCACTTCAGGGGTGTCCAAACTTTAAATGTTGCTGCTGAAAACTGAGCACCCCAGAAGCCTGCCACACTCCTGATCATATTGCTTTAAAATTAGCCCAGCCAAATGTGGGTCCAGAGCAYGTAGCAACCTGCAGCGTTCTCACTGTGGTGTTCGTGCTTCAAGTGGTCCTGTCACCAGGTGGCTGAAATAGCTTAACCAAGTCTTCCAAAAAAATGAGGCACTTCCTCTCCGGCATTAGCTGGGGAATTGATCCAGACCTCCGCGTCTTCAGCCTTTCCTCCTAGAGCTGTTCTTAGAGGTGCCCACGTGTGCGGAGTCCTCTCCTCCTTTAAGAGGATCAGGCAGGCTGGTGAGCTCGCCCTCTGCCCAGTAGTGCTCTCGGGGTCTTTTGAAGCTCTTAGGCTTGCCTGTTGCACACCTAGGACGTTGGACCCCCAAATGGCATTGCAAGATGCAAACATTGCCATTGCCAGGGAGAAACCACTTACACCATCTAATCACATGATGAATGAGTTGAGCTGTTCCCTCGTCCTCTGTTGCTGAGCTGCTTCTGTGGTTGTTTTCAGTCTTTATGCTGGACAGCCCTTGAAATGCTGATGTTATAGGTAGCATTGCTCATCATTGATGTCAGAAAGTAGGTTTTGTTTTGCCAAGGCTGTGTTCAGTCAGCGTTTGAGTGAGCAACCTGATAATTTCATATGTGAAAGGGTTGTGGTATTTCAGACAATGCAGAAGGATGCAATTTGAAAGTAATGCAGAATGAAATGTGAATCAAAAATGCTTTAACAATTTTTATATAAAGATATTTGTAAAATATGAGATTAGAGATAAATTTTAAAATCTYGAATATAGAAAATAAACCTAGTGCAAAAGAATCATAGATACAACATATCACTCACAGATGTTATGATACCCTAATTTGCACATTGTGTAACTTTTAGGTATTTGTAGAACTTAGCAAGTTGTGATCAAATCAAGTTATCTGTTTAAAGTAGGAATGAGCAGGCATGCAGATTTTTGTTTTCACTCATTTTTGAGAGTAATGTCTCTATCCTTCCTCCATTTAATCTTCTAGATCAATTAAAGGGAACAAAAMCCTTTTTCTTGTTCAGTTGTATACTTTAGAAGAGTATTAGCTGAGTTTTGGATTTTATTTTCCCTTGTGTAGGTAGACTGCAGAAGGAGTTTTTCAGTGAACGTGATGTTTTTTAATCTCAAGCGCTGGATTGCTTCCTGATTACATGTGCCTGACCCTCTGTGTACTAAACACAGCAAGCAATAAACTGCAGTTCCTGTTGTGCTGTTTTGTGTGTGTCACACTCGGAATGCTTTTTTGGAAGCACTGGGGTTTTGCATCTGATTGTATGATGGATATGCTCCTTTCCCAGCTCAACTTGACTTTACCGAGGTAGCCGCATTCAGGTGTTAAGCACCAGTGATATTATCTGACCCTGGTAGTTGGCTCCCTGATTTCTTCCCAGACTCAGACATTAACCAGCAATAAGTCCTGATGGCTGCATCCTGATGGGGAGTTAAGGCTGATGGTGCATACACCAGACAAAAGTTCTCTGAAATGAAAAAAATGACCATAAGTCAAACATCTTATCCCATAAATACACGGACAGCCCAAGAGCCCCTTGAGCTGCAGGCCAGGATCTCCCTTTGAGCAGGGACGCMTCTCAAGGATATTCCTTGAGGTTAAGAGATCCCTTTCCACAACAGATTTGTGGTAAGTGAATATAGCGCGCTCTCTTTCTCGACTTGTAAACTTTACTTTGTAACTGTGCACAAAATCCCTTAGTCATAAACCGTTGACCAGGTGTGGGACTAGGATTGGATCCAGCCACACCCAAACTCCTCTCAGAAGGAGCTTGGAAAGCAAAGGGGTCCAATCTAAACCTCGTGACCCAATGGGAGGGTATCCATGATAATTGTGTATTATCATAAACCTCCATGCAGTAAATAATAATTAGTGACCTTGCCATAGAATCTCGTGAAATCATTGTCCATATCAATAAACCCTATTATTATTTCTTTCATACGAGTGAAGTGCATTGTGTCACTTAACCCCCCCCCCACCACCACCACTCATTCCATGACAGATTACTGCTGTCATTCTGATGGCTGAAACTGAAAAGATTGGTGACATTGTCCTTGTGATATGCTTTGAAAAGTTAGTGTTTCTGTAAATGCTTTTACCCCTTGTCCAAGCTTTTYCCTTGGAGCTTGGGCCTATCCTTTGCCTCATACAAACTGGATCATACACTTTATGTCTTCAAGACTCTTAGATAACTGTTTCTTAATAGTAATGTTTATTTTATAAATGGGAAGAAGGTTTCTGTATCTTTTTTTTGCATGCTGCCATTTGATACCACTTAAGGAATAATTGTTTCCATTTACAGRTTAGAAATGCTCTCAATTGCTTTATTTCCTGGGAATCTGTTCAGTTTCCTATAACAACTGAAAAATTAGGTAGCGATTGCTGGCAAGATCCTGTCTCTGTTTCCTAGAAACATTGTTTCTTGAARATAATTTGAGTCAACATCTGACCTTTTAGATAATAGTGCATTTTAATAATCATGAAAAACTTTCTCTAACCTTCAATACTTTGCATTCAAGAACAAAATCTTCATTGTGAATATAGAATAAATGCAAAACATATTATCTAACAACTATTCGTTTTATTCAGAATTGTATCGTGTTTTCTTGTCACTGTCATCTGTTTTACCTTCTAATGCTCAGAAATTTGTGGTCTTAGAGTATTTTGCAGATTCGTTTTTCACCAGATATGGGTTTTTTTTTTTTTTTTTTTTGACTGAAAGCCAAGCCTGGAAGGGGGGAGATACCAGACACTTAGATATGACAGATGATTCATTCTTGTACCCACAGAACATAGAAATAAGTGAATGAACTTCAGTTTGAATTTCTGAAAAACGCAAATAGTATCTCTGTTTATCCTATAGCCTTGATAGTGTTTATCATTTCTTTTCTCTGTGTCTGAGTTTAGAGATGTTTTATCATAGAAAAATCTGTCATAAACTTTTCCCTTTGCTTCAGTTTTGCTTTTGTTAGTAGAGTTAATGGTTCGATACTGAGCTATTTTGTCGTCCATGGATGTTTTAACTCTTTAAACTCTTTAAGAGGCAAAGGCTGGGCAGAGGTGTGTGTGCTTGAAACCTTACCAGAAGGAAGGGGCAGATGTGTTCCTAAACACAAGAGGGCTGCCATTATTTTTCAGTTGTTCTAGATTTGAAGAAGATAGTTCTCTGTCCTGTATTTGTTGTTGTTGTAGCAATGTTCTGCTGGCAACAGCTCAGTTTTGAGCTGTTTGGGTACTGGTGAACATGTAATAAAGGTGTTTTACACTAAAAATTTCACGAATACAAGAGGGTTTTTTTTTTTATTCTAACAATCATTTTGCTATTCAAAAAAGTTCTCAGGACAGCTGCCTGAAGAGCAAAAGTTGAATATAAACTTACAGTTTTAAACAAAACAAAGGAAAAACAAAAGTTTTGGACTTTTCCTTTTTGAGCTCAGTATATTGTGCCCATATGTTGTTGCAGAAACATCATGTCAATGTGTTCTGATATTTCTGGTTACATGTCTTGAGATTTTGCCAACTTTCATGCTGGAGGCAGAAAATTTAGCCTTTGGTAGCTCAGAGTAGCTAGAAAAGTTGAAACCTCTGGAAAGAAAAGGGAAAAAGCTCACCGTTTTGKATGTGACAAATTTTAAGCTTTCAGTCACTCCCTTGAAAAGATGTACACTAATTTTTTTGCTAGGAAAGCTAGTTTTTCCATGTATGATGATGATACACACGTAAGGTTTTTTTTGAAATGTGGCTTCACAAGCAGCTTGTTCTAATATCACATCTCAAAGTGTTGGCTGCAGCCTCAGGGCGCGTTACCCGAGTGTGAGGTCTGTCGYTTTGGCAGATTTCAGGTGCTGGAAGAGGGTCTCCAGCCGCAGCTCGAGTGCAGTTGCCTTCTAGTCAAACTGTTCATGTCCAGGGGGTCGTTCAAGCCACACGGCCCTCAGTCATTCWGTCACCACAAATGCAAAATGTTCAGGTTAGCTTTTTAGTGTTACATTTGCATCCATATTTGGTGCCTGTTTCCTGCCCCTCCTTTTACCCCTGCTTCAGCTTCCCTTCATTCCTACCAGTGTTGCAAGTTTTGCTCATAAGAGGGGGTGTGGAGGGTGGCAAAGTGCCCACTGGTAGCAGCCCTGGCAGCACCGGGGCGATTCCTTCAGGCTTCCTGTTTACCTTCAAGAAGCTGTTGTCTTGGAACCCTTAACTTGTGCAACAGCAAATTTGAGTAATAACATTGTGGTATTTTAGTGTGTCTTGCAGTTGTTCTGTTACGCTCTTTTCTTGAACTTGTTGCCTTTAAGGAGGCTGT